CCCCAAAACCCCAAAACCCCAAAACCCCTAATGTATTGATTTACCAAAATTTTCGAATAATTAAGTAAGAACCAAATAAAATGAAGAAAAGAGCAGATGAGAAATTTAACATTTTAGCATAGATTGGTAGCTACAATCTCAAACTGGATATTCTTGAATCTATGTACTTTAAGTCTATGCACAAGAAACATCACATTTAGCTGTGGATTCATCACCCTCGACCAAACTAAGAACCTAACTTGATATCAACTAATGAGTTTCACGAGGTTAGAACTGAGAAAGACATAATTCGTTATTTCACTATTGTGTGCGACAAGCTGCGTAAGAAGTACAAACCACTTGAGGATAAGAGGAAAGTGTGTCTAGCCATATTTAAGGGCAACAATATACAAACACTCTCTTCCGTTCAGCTTCTAGACATAATCAAGCATAATCTGGCTTAGCTACAATCCTTGCATTTCTTTAGAGATAATACACAACCAGTCAACATTGACTCATTCTTTTAGTACTATATGTTTGCACTAAATTTAGATGAGGAAAAGACAGCTAAAGATCCGCCAATAAGCTTGATCTAACCTTTGCCTTATCAAAAGTAAGGGAAAGGCTAGGGCTTGAATAATTTGATTCGTGGTTTTGGACTTGATAAAAATGAATATAGTTATCACTTGGTTCAGGTAACTCATCATAGCAATGGATAAGTTGAAAGTAAGTTTAGATTTAGTTTAAATGATGCTAGCTGTTGATGTCTGGGATAAGACCATGCGATACAAGAGTTATAACTACGTCAGTAATCTCCTCTATATCCTCGAGAAAAAAGGCTAGATGATTGTTGAAAGGATGAATTTATATTTTTTGCTAGATAACGCTGCTTAGATTTTCCTCTTTGACTTGGATAAATGCCTGATTTAATAACCCAAGAAAATAAAGACTCATGTAACTTCTATTCTCAATAACAATAACTAACTTTACAATAGAAAGATGAGAATCATTTTATCGATGGATTAAAGCCGGAGGTGAGCTTGCTCCCTTAGACATTCGTTGAAATCGTTAAAACACCATTATAACTTGAAGAAGAGGCCGAAAAGAGGAAAAAACTTTAGAAAATTTTAGCTTAAACCCCAAAGAAGGAGAATTTCATACTTAAAAACATTAAGAAACTAAGATTTGCAGCTCTTAATCAAGCAGGAGGGACTTTTGACAATACTAAGAACTAAAATGCAGATCCAAATAGATTATAACTCCAGTTCAATTCTAACCAAGGCATCAGTAGTCCTATGAGCAACAATAGCAATAATAAATAAGCATTCAAGTCTTAATCTGTTGCTGAGCTCAAAGATTACCATAGTGTGAATGTTGAATTGTAAAACGATGAATATTAGAGAGACTTTAGGATTTAAAGGCCATCAAGCAAATACAAATCCCCAACAGGAGGAACTTATATTAAGGCTAAGAAATTCCCATAATCATTGCAAGAAGAATAGATAGATTAATATATTGGAACATATAATGAAATGGGAATGCCTGGAGAATAGGGCAGATAGTCAGTGCTGCAAATAGGAGGACCTAAGATTTAACTGCAGAATTACTTTAGAGAGAGGCAGTTGGATAAAAATCTCCAGTTTTAAAAAGAACTGATCAAGAATAGTCAATTAAAGATTTCTAATAGCATTGTCTAAATGCATAACTATAGACTATTCAGTCCATAGCATTAAAATCACAATCATAGGAGGATGCATGGTGCAAGTGCCATTAAAAGAGAGATTAATAGGATAAAAGAGTACGAGAGAGTGTTTAACCAGAGTGACATGAGATCTACAGAGATAGTGTCTGACCTACCAAGAGATATAAAATAAAATGATAAAGTTATTAAAGATTCTATAATTCAAACATCCTCCACTCGGTAAAGTCATCTGGTCCCGTATAATATTGTAGAAGACACTGATATTGAAAAGAATTTCATTTACTCCACAATAGCTTGATTACTAAGATTTAATTTCATTATTTCAAATAATGATTGATTTATATTTTAATTATGATTTGAGGGGTTTTGGGGTTTTGGGGTTTTGGGG